TTCAGACCCAGCTGCTGGGGAAAGGGGGGTGCAAGGAGTCTGAGCTTCGAGGACAGGCTGAGCGGCCTCAAGTTCTTATTTGATCTGAGCCCGGACAGCCCATCTCTGAAAACGTCACACAGACAAGTGACCCAGGGAGATGGCAGGGACTTGCTGGCTCTGATTGGGCTGGAGCCTTCGCCCCGCCCCTGGAAGTGCCTCTCATAAACCACTGCAATGACACAGTTTCAATACGGCTCATGAGGCAGAGGCTGCAGCAGGGAGATGTGTAAAGTGAGGGATGAAAGGAGCATCTATCCCCCGGAATAAGCAAAGACGCCATCAGTGCAGGCAACAAACCCCTGTGCAGGGGGAAAAAGCCACCAGTTCTGACTGCACCGGGGATGCACGCCTGGAGCTGAGCTCTCGCAGTGGGGAGTAGATCCGGGGGTGCTGTGAGCAGGACGAGGGGAGGAAATGGCTCTTCATACGCTACCTTTGCTGCAGGGGGCGCTGTACTCAGCGATGGCAAATTCATCTGGAAGATACAAGGGAAGGGAGATGTGATCAGGGCTGTGTGAGACCCAAGCAGGACTCCTCGCACTTCCAGCAGGCCCTGCGGCAGAGAGCTGGCATCGCAACAGAGATCTCAGGCAGGAGGGGAGGGAGCCCTGTCTCCAGGGGCACTGGGGGAACCTCAGCTGGGCTCCATGGGAGGAAGGCAAAGGTTACCTGAAGGCTACAGCACAACAGGCATCTCCAGAGGTTCTGTGCCAGGTGCCCTATGGCCATTTGCACCTCGTCTGACACACGACCGCCGGGGTTGCCGTTGGGCTCTGGTTTTGTCACCCGATGTCCTAGCTGGGGAGGTGGAGGAGCGAATGTGCCTCCCCCAGGTCACACCCAGAGCTGGGATCTCAGGGCAGGATCTGAACCCAGGACACTCCCAGATCCTTTTGGCTCTGACCCACCTGGGTTGGCACCTTCCCTCTACAGTGCGGGAGGGTTCTGGGGCTCGTGGTGCGAGCATGAGGCCAGTGGAATATGATCCCTTGCCCATAATCCTGGTGTGCCCCACACTCTCATCTGGGAGAGGGGTGACGCTGCTGAGATGGGCCTGTTGCGTCCAGAGATGAGAGGGGGACGCTGTCTGCATGGCACAAACCAGTGTCAGGGATGGTGGTGGCAGGGCCATTTGGCTCAGTGGAAGCAGGAGGAGAAGGGAATGGGGTTTGCCTTTGAACCTGCATGGGCAGTCGCTGAGGAGGCAGCGCTGGCGTGAGGTTCCCAGCTCAGCCCCAGGCCTGTTCCCACCCTCACGAGGCAGCACAGGAGTGGGGAGGTGGATCATCGAGAGAACGAGTCCAAACAGAATCCTGAGCCCAGAGGGTCCCCCTGTGGCTCTGACTGTGGCCTCTCCCGTCCCTGTGACAGGCTCATGGGAGCTAACATCCCCCCAGCCCTGCCCCCATACGCACCCGTCTCGTAGTAATCGTAGACTTTCACCAGAGCTGGCTTCAGGCTCTGCACGGGGAAGTCCTGTTCCACCGCGAAGGAGAAGCTCTGAGTCACATTGCTCACCTGGAGTCAGAGGGAAACAGACGAGACTCAGGAGGACGCACTGAGCCACCTCATCCTCTCCTTCCCCATCTCCCCTCCGTATTCCCGCATTGCTCCCCCCATGATCCTGCAGGTGCAGCATCTGCCCCCCTTGGCTGCAGGGCCTGGCAGGGATTCAGGCCCTGAGGGAGGTGGGATAAGCCCTTCCCAACCCCAGGGTATGAGCCGCCGTCTGGGGGGAGATCAGAGCCCTGGCTCTGTGTTGGGGATGTGCTGAAGGGAAACACTGGGCAGGAATACATGGGTTTGTCTTTCCAAGCTGAGGCTTGGGAGATCCCCTCCCCGGGGCACTTCTATTGGGAGTACATTGGGGGTGACTTTTCCTGGCCCATTCCGGCCCCGTGCAGCCATTCACCTGCTCCATGTAGAGCAGCACGTGGTTGGTGCTCAGTTCTGTGCGGTGGATGCGGTGATGTCCTTCCAGCTGCAAGTGGCCAAGGGAGAGAAGCAGGATGTTACTGAGCCCCACTTCAAACCACCGAGAGCGCTAGGCAATGGGATGCCGGTACCTTAAAGGAAGGGGTGGAGTCTCTAGCGTGGCCCTACCCACCTAGTGCACTGAGGTGTGAAATGCCCCAGCCTGAGAGCATCCGAATTCCAAAACCTGACCCAGGGACCAGGCCGCCACCACCCACCACGCTGCCCACCATGTGGCACCCTGCCCGCGGCTGCCAGTGGCAGCAAGAAGACTGCGACCGTGGCAGAAAGCCAGGATAGATTGGGAGACAGCTCAGCAGACAGAGGACTTAGAGGAGCACTAGCCTGGACTCCCCAAACTCCGATACCCCCAGTAAGACTAAGGGCCCCAGCTGGCAACAATCAGACACCCTCCCTGCCTCACTGGCACTTGGAGTCACCCTTGTCCATGCCAGAGCCCTCCCACAATGACTGGGTGCAGGGGGTGGTGTTAGGAGGTTCTTGCTGGCAGCTGTCTGGCTGGACCTGGGGCCAGAGTCCTGACCAGGCAGTCCATCCCCATGGGTGGGTGCACGGCTCTTTTAGTGAGTCAGCCCCGTGGTGGGCAGGCCCCTATGGGTCCACCTGCCACCGTGGATCATCCGGTTTGGCAAAGAGTGTGGGGGGTGTCGCAGTGTGTGTGTGGGGGTGTTATGTGGGGAAGGTGGGAGGAATATATCCTCAGTGCTTATGGTGGTTGTTCAAGGAGTGGTGCATTTGGGGCTTGTTTTGAGACTCATTTGGGCTTGTCGTTTTGAAATATCTGGCAACCCTAAGTCACCCTGTGGGACTGGGCCTCTATCAAGTGCAGCATCAGCTCAGTGTCTGACCCGTCCCCTGAGGGGAGGGTTGTGGCTGTGGGCACTGCCTTCCCTCTTCTCACAGGCTTCATTAATCTGGTGAGATCTCACCTCAGAGCCCCTGAAGGGGCACCTCCCACTATCTGGGTCTCACTGAGAAGATGCACGGCCTGGCGTGGGCTCAGGAGCTGCAGTGTGTGTTTGTGGGGGGAGGGGGAGGGTTCTTGGGCCTGGGGGAGCAGAGAGGGTCACAGGGAGGTGGAGGCTCTGAGTCACTTTGCTCACCTGGGGTCGGGGGGAAACAGACGAGACTCAGGAGGATGCTCTGAGCCGCCTCATCCTCTCCTTCCCCACCTGCCCCCCAGAGCTGGCTCCAGGCACCAGCGGAGGAAGCGGTGGGGCGCCACAGGCTAAGGGGCGACATTCCAT